CATTTAACAGTTTCTCAAACTCTCTTTTGAAGCCAAGAAAGCTTAAATTTGAGCAAACTGATTAATGTGTTATGTCCCCCTCCCTCTGCCCTCTCCATGATCTTCTCTGAGTTTCTGTTTTATTTTTTCAAAAGAAGGCAGTAGAGGGACACGACACAACCCCAGCTTGTGTCTGTGAGCAATGCAATGCCTCCAGCACCCAGGTAGGCAGGAAGGAACAGAGACTGGCTATATAAAAAAGGTTTAAAAAACGCAGGTCCAGATGAGGGAGGAAAGGGAGATGCTACATGTAAAGCAAATGTTATCTCCACTGCCTGGTATTGCAAGTGACCCCGCAGATTCAGAGGCTTCCAGTTCCTGGGGCAGAAACTCCCCACAGCAAGATGATGGCCTACAACTGCAGGTGGGCAATGTGACAGGATGACCAGACCCCAGGCATGCCACACCTACCAAATCCCTTCAGCACTGTCAGCACTAGGAGTCATCCTAAAAAATGGTGTGGTTAGTATCTCTTAGGTTTTCACCCTCTTGCCCCAATTTTGTCCTGCTAGGATTCTGCCAGCAGTAAAACACCTTCTACCTCTGCCCACAAAATGTCCACATATACAGGGCCTCAAATGGTATTATTTATTAATTCCATCTCAGGCAGCACATAACCTCTAAATGCTTCTGTAATACAGACCATAAGCATCACTGCTGATTTTACAGGCTCAAAGCATCAGAAAACCCTCATCACTTACCTTCAGCACCAAGAGTTTAGAGCACCTGCTTGTACTGACTACACAGGCAACAGAAGCAGTGCATTGAAGAAACAGCCTCTGTAACAGGTCCTCTCCTCCCTGAATGACAGCTGTCCAAAGGAGTTTTTTCTTTCGATCCTTGTTTTTTTTTTTAAACATGCCTCACTAACATGGAAGTGGGAAGCACCAGTTTATATCCAGAACTCTTTGACATCTTGGAGAAAGAGTTCTTTTCCTTGTAAGCCCAAGATCCCCAAGCAGAAGGACTTAGGAGTGCTGGCTGACAAGAAGCTGGACATGACCCAGCCATGGGCACTCCCAGCCCAGAGAGCCAAACGTGTCCTGGGCTGCATCCAAAGCAACGTGGGCAGCAGGGGAGGGAGGGGATTCTGCCCCTCTGCTCTGCTCTGCTGAGAGCCCACCTGGAACCCTGCATCCAGCTCTGGGGTCCCAGCACAGGGAGGTCATGGACCTGCTGGAGTGAGTCCAGAGGATTAGAGGAGTGGAATACTTTCCCTATGAAGACAGGCTGAGAGAGCTGGGACTGTTCAGCTTGGAGAGGACAAGGCTCTAGGGAGAAAACAAAGCTGGAGAGGGACTTTTGACAAGATAGTGACAGGACAAGGGGCAATGGCTTTTAAGTGCAGCAGGTTTAGATTAGATGTTAGGAAAAGATTCTTTACTGTGAGAGTGGTGAAGTACTGGAATGGGTTGCCCAGGGAAGTTTTGAATGTCCCATTTCTGGAAGCGTTTGTTCAAGGCCCAGTTGGAAGGATCTCTGAATGACCTGGTCTAGGTAAAGGTGTGCATGCCCACACCAGGAGTCAGGATTAAATGATCTTTAAGGTCCCTTCCAATCCAATCCAATCCAATCCAATCCAATCCAATCCAATCCATGGTATCCCAGGAAAAAGCCATTTTTAAACCTTAGTGAAAATGAGTACATCTCTAGTGGTTTGTCCTTTGGACAATTCACTGGTTCATACATTAACTTACACTTTTGTTTTGTGAATATCCATTTATTACTAGTGTACAGAGTTATCAATTTTCTGATTTTATATCTGGGCATGAAAAGCTAGTAAGACAGACATATGACTGCAATATTTACCACACTTGGGTGAACTTTCCCAGAAGATGCTCATGGCAAAAAGGGCAAGAGCATATTTTTTATGTTTGCCATCCCAGCCACATCTGGTGTCTAAATGGGGGTTAGAACTGGCTAAGGAGACAGCTGTACTCTAAAATAACCTCCATAAATACTTGCACTCACCTGGGCAGGACTTGAAAATTACATCCCTGAAATATAGGTAAGCCTGTCTATGATATTCAGCTTTGCAGACTTTTACTGCATTAAAAAGAGCTCTTTTGGAAAGGGATCTTTCAGCTGAAGAATTTGACCCCTTGTGCATACCCTCCTTAAACCAGCAGGCATGTAACTACCCCAATACCAAAATACCAAAAAGCCACATGGAAATGGTAGAAGAAACACATTTGACTGGTTTGAAAGTGCTTAGGCCAACACTACTTCTAGAGAGCAAATTTTTATTAAAAAAACCTCAACCAAAACCACTACTACAATACTGTCTGCATCTCCTAAAGAATGTAACAATTTGGGGAATGGACACGTGCAGGAAATACCTGGATTTAGTTGCTTTTGGGCTTCTCAGAGAAACCAGAATTTCTCGGAATTCTTGAGATTTTACTGCAGCAAGCACGTTCTGCTTCCTGATACCCCATTTAAGATACTCATTAGCATGCAGCTCTAAACTGAAGCATAAATCCAAAATGCTTATATTACCTTGTATTAGAGAATTGCATAGCCTTTAAGGACTTTCAGCTTGAAGCTGAATTATAGTATTACCCCAGTCCTGATTTGTTCTTTTCAATTATAAATAACAGCAAGTGAACCATAAAAGCACATTTAAAATTTGGCAGCTTCTGGTAGGAGATTAAACCTCATTCAGCTAATGCATTTGTTGCAGAGCCAGACAGCAGGGATTGTAAACTACTCTCTAAAGACTGCTAGGAGGAAAACTGTGGGCCTCTGAAATGAGTACCTGGCTATTTTACCATTCAAAAAGACTGAGCAGTTCAGTCACACATATCCTGTGTGAGTCATCACATGCTTCCCAACAACGATGGGGGAGGGGCAGGCAGGAAATTAAAAAACCCAGAATCATGTATGTTACAATAAATGTTGGTTTGCTAGGGAAATGGAGTTTTTGGAGCAACCTGTTCCCATCAGAGCACTTCCCCATGCTTATGGGAGTACAGGAATCACAGGCTGATTCCTGCTTTTTTTGTTCATATTGATAAGTGAGTTTTGAGCTCAAAAAGGAGTATTTCTGAGTTCTACATGGGGAAATTATATATCAGAAGTGTCGACAAAGTGCACACCCTCTATTCTTCACGGTGGCCTTAGAGGCACATGAGATGCTGATCAGGGCAGACTCAGCTCTGACCAACGTGAGAGGCATGATACAATTGTTTAACAAAAGCTCTTTGCTACAAAAACCTGAAAAGAACAGAGGAAAAAAAAAAAAAAAGAACAAACAGTTTCTCACCTACACGCTGGCTATAAATCTTGACGCCTTGACAGTGCCAGGCTGCATGTGACTGCATCACCCCACAAATACTGAAGTAACACAGGTAGAAAACATTTGCCTACTCTATCATAAAGAGCTGCTTCTTCCATGGCCCTGTTGCTCTGTTGACCATCTGTAACCACTGCCAGCAGCCACATACGGCCTTTGGCAGATTCAGTGAATGGCTCTGAAGATGCTACAAAGATGATTTAAAACATCATAAATGATCCTTCAGCAACTAACTCCAATAAAACTTTGAATCTTGGGGTCACTAAGAGCATTTCTCTAAACTCCAGGCATTTCCAAAGCACATGACTCACTCCTGACAGGATCAGACTAAGTGGAGACCATTCAAAGTAAAGCCATATTCATAAAGGGTTCCCACATCCACTCTCTGAGGACAGGCTTGCACAGCCACTTTCAGCATAAGTGATGTAGGGGAAAAAAGCGAAAGAGACGAATCAAAAGAAGAACACAAAACACAGGACAGTTTCTTTCAGTGACCTCAAAACCACCTTCCTAAAATAACAAAACAGTTGTTTGTAATTCAGATGCATTGATCCATAAAGAGCTGACCAGCAAGCACCAAAAGAAACTATGAATTTTTCTGTCGGTTCCGTAAACGGAAAACCACAGGTAGCTTCTCTGAAGTCTCTTTCCCCAGTGTGATCTCTGGTAACAGAGGTACCTATGCTGAAATGGCCCATTGGTGGATGAGGGAGATTAACCCCAGGCTCAAGGGCCCAAGGTGTGGCCAGGCTACTGTCAACCTGGGATGCCAGCAGGCCATGGTAACAGCCCTGCCTACAGCACAGGAGTGTCTGTTCGAGGAGCAGCAGTTACAAGCAACAAGTTGGGTGGGAAAGCCTTTTAAAGGTACCAAAAAAATCCGAAATTCCCCTTGTCCCCAGCTCTGCCTTGTGACAAAGCCAGCAGATCAAAACAGCTCCAGGTCATCACATAGTAAAAATGAGACCACCAGCAGGCTGCAAACCCGCCGAGATCCTGCCAGCATGCCAGCACCCAAGCGGTCGTGGAAAAAGCCTATGGGGAGCACAGCTCCAGTGCAGATAAAACACACGCCAGGCTGCCACGTATCACGGTACTGCATCACAGGACCAAATATGTTCAGTGGAAAGCGCCGCTGGGATACATAACAACTGTACTCATGACCCTGCCTCGGAGCTCATTTTAAACCCGTTCCGCTCATTCAGCAGGTCCGCCGACAGAGAAAGGCTGCGAAAAGCCTGCATAGCGCAAAAAAGCCCTCCTGAGCTTGCATTGCGCAAGAGCAGCACTTTGGGTAGAGTTCCGAGAGGAAATTACCCAACCCCCAGGACAACCAGAAAGAAACCTAGCCGGGCGGGGTGGGAGCGCTTCCCGAGCGCTCAGGGGCTCCTCTCCCCGCCGCCGTGCCTGGGCAGCATCCGCGCCGCGCTCCCCTGCGCACCGGCTCCCCGGGGATTCTCCCACAATCCCCCTCCGCCGCCGGCACACTCGGGAGCGGCCGTGCCGCTGTCACACCGCGCCCGCTCCCGGGGCGAGGCACCCACGGCGCACCGGGACCCGCCGGCTGCCGCCCGCGCCTCCTCCCCGCGGCCCGGGCGGCGTCGGGCACCCCCGGGCGGCGGGGCCCCCGCCCGTCCCCCCGAAACCCCGCCGGGACGGCACTCACCGAGCAGCGGGGAGGGCTCGGGGCAGGGGCCCAGCGGCGGCTGGGCGGGTGGGGATCGGGCCCGGGCGGCGGGCGGCGACGGGCGGGAGAGCGGCAGCGAGAGGTTGGCGGGCGGTGGGCGGCGCGGCGGCGGCTCGGGGCTGCCCGGCGGCCCCAGGGCGCTGCCCGCCAGGTAGTATAGCAGCGTGGCCGAGAGGTGGAGGGCACAGAAGGCGACGAGGAGGCGGCAGGCCCGCTGCAGCGAGGTGCCGGGCAGCGACGGCTCCTTCATGCCGCTGCTCTGGCGGGGAGCGCCGCCCGCCCCGCGCCGCACCGCCGACGGGGAACGGGGACGGGGCGGGGGCGGCGACGGCTCCGCCCGCCGGGGGCGGCCCTGAGCCCCGCGCCCCGCCCGCCGCCGCCGGGAGCGCCGGCGGGACCCCCGGGGCCGCTCGGCTTGGCCATCCCCGCCCGTCCCCGGCCTCCCGCCCGGGTCCCCCGGGCCCGCCCCGGCGGCCCTTGTGAGCGCAGCTCGCCGTGGCCGGCTCTCCTACACGGTGCCCGCTGGCAGCGTGCTGGAACGGTCGCTGTAGTAGCCCCCAGAAGCGCTCGTCTGTGGCAGAGGGTGTAAGCGGCAGCAGCGACCTGCTGCGGGGCAGCAGGGCTATGTTTGTATTCGTTCCCTTTGGAGGGCTACACGCTGTCTTCGCTTTTATCTGCATAAACTGTAGCTTTTCTGTCAGCTCGGTGGAGCTTGTTTCAGCTAATTTCCTGCCTTTAAATAATGACTAGCTTTTTGTTAAATATATCACAACATCCTAGCAGTGCCAGTGGCAGGGTCTTCTGGAGGTCTCTAGTCAAACATCCTGCTTGGAGCATGACTATTGCCAGCAACATGTGAAGTCAGCTATAGTTTCGTCCCACTGAGTCTTGAAAGCTGCCCAGCATGGCAATCTACACCTCTCTGGTACCCTGTCCCAGAATTGATCTACTTTTCTGAGGAAAGATTTTCCTCATGTCTATCATCAAGCCAGTAGTAGTGCCTGTTGAAGCAGGTCTGGGCACCTTCCAACATCCCTCAAGGTTAGTTACATGTGTTTCTTATAACTAGCGAGTCCTTGAGCCGGGAAAGAAACTGCCTTGGTTCTACAAGAAGAGACCTATCCTGTCTCGGCCAGCAGAGATGATGGGGGAGGTCTTATAGTATTGTCTTACTGCAGGAGCAGGGGACACAGGGAGACAGTACTAACCTTGCTGTTCCCCTGGGCACTGCAGGCATTTCACTTGCAGCTGACTGGAAAGCAATCAGTGGGACATTGGTGACTCACAGGGTGAGACTGACAGCTGGCCAGGCAAAATCCTGTTCGTGGTCTGGCAGACTTGCATGTATCTGGGCTTCAGAGTGCTTCACGTACACCGTGCGACACTCAAGTGGTTTTAAAGTGCAATAAATAACTCCTGCTAGTAGCCCTTAAAGCTGCCACTCATTTGCTCTCACGAAAGCAGAGTAACTGCAGGAAGAAAGTGAATCTCATTCTTCTCATGGGTAAAAACTACTTTGTAACACACACACACACACACACACACACACACGCACAGAGCCCCATGCATGCCTGCGCTGCTCCTGCTGTCCTCAGCTCTCATGGATTTGCTGATTTCAGCGGCCTCTGGTGCTGCCTGGTGGGATGCCAGAGTGACGGGAATGAGCTATCCTGCTGCCAAAGTGCATGACCAAAGACATCTGCTTCCTCTTTTCTGTTCACTTAGATGTTTCTCAGTTCTTCCTGAGACATTCTGCAAGTTAGTCCAGTAGTCCCTTTGTGCTTTGTTTAAACCTGATGTTTGGCAATGCCAGTGTCCATGATGCTATAATGACACCATCACTGATGGCACTGACATTCTCAGTCAACACTCAAACTAGCATCAGCTAATAATTGCCTTCTTCAATGAGTAAACCTATCTTTCAAAACCTTCAGGCTCTTCAGACATCTTTTATGGATCAATTGGTAAAAGGCAACCCACAATGTGAGCCAGCAGAAAATCCATTTTGCAGGATTAGCAGGTCAGTCCAGAGTTTCCATGTTTCTCTACTTACAGAAAATACCTGGACTTGTTGTAGTGAAATTTGTCTTTCCCTTCTTTCAGTTTTGAACTGAGCACTTGTAGGGAAAGTGGTGCATTGTGAACCAGACCTCAATTGTGACTCAAGGCAGAGTCAGTTTGATCTCCCATGACACTAACATATATGCCATCTTTCAAATTTGTCCAGCAATAGCAAAAGAAGTGACAGCACAGTGTTCAGTAAAAACATCAGAGTTAGGAAATGTCTTACACAATTTTCCATGGGTCCACTGTAGCTCCCCACCATGAATGCTTGCTATGTTTTATGTGAATCCTATGAAAATATTGCCATTTTTTCCATGGGACCACTGTCTTGCTTGGTCTCAACACGTCTCTGGAGCAAGGCTTTGTGATTAAAGAAGGCCCTGTTGCTGGAAGGGATCATTCACAGTCTGCACCACTCAAGTGTACGATGATATGTGAATGGTAAATACAGACTTACAGATCCAAGCAGGTAACTGCACACCTATTTTTTACATAGAGGTAAGGTGTCCTAATGAGCCCATAAATGAGGAAAGAGAAATACAGGCCTTACAGGAGAAGTAAAAATGAGCATGTGTTTGTGCAAGGTCTGGCTGCTCCCACTGCATGCCAGCCCTCTCCAGTTTTCACCATTGCAGTCTATACTCCAGCCCAACCTGTAAGGAGTCCTTGGAGATCTCACTTTTCCAGTCACACCACAGTCCACTCCAACCTCATCATATTGTGATGTTCTTTTTTGGCAAAGTTAATTTTCAGTCTTTTTCTCCCTACAAAAAAATTACTGCTGACTATAATACTTTGCTCCACATGAATACATCTGTCCATCCATCATGCCTAATGACTTGTAAGTCTGATTCTAATCAAACTTGGCAGTTGGAAGAGATTGTAAACATCTAGAATACCTGCTGAAACAAGCATCAGGGTGCAACAGAGTGAAAGTTCACTGGTAATGTGGTAGTTAGGTATTTAGGCATTTGTAGTTAGGCATCAAAATATGAGGAGGAAGAAGGAAGTTATAAGCCCCATATTCCTGGAAGAAAATTAAAATTCTCAAGGATCATAGCAGAATCCAAGAAAGGATGTGAATATTAATCAGATGGGAGGTTCTCAGTCAGCCAGCTCATGTGCTGGGGTCAGTACTTTCGCCAGAGCAGTAGCACCATGTATTTCCACTGGGCAAGCTCTCCTCAGCTGAAGAGCAGTGTGTGGTCACCACCAGCCCTGCAGGGACATGTCCCCATGAAAATGCAGTGCCCCACAGCAAAACATGGCCCACCTGCATGTGTGCTCCTGTGGAGTTGCAGGTGGCTGGGACAGTGGAGGTGCAGTAGCTGTTCTAGCCCTTCTGAGTCAAACCTCACAGGGCCCTTTCTGGCCAGGCAGGGCACAGCCCCCAGCAGCCCTCCTGTCTGCTTATTCCAAGCTCAGCATGCATCACATCAGCTCCTCCAGGAAGAGTGGGAGTTGGGGCTTGTGCCTCTGCTCTTCAGCGTGGCTGTGGCAGCCCTGAGCATCTATGGGACAAGAGCAGGCCCCACATGTGTGAGCAGACCTGGATTGTGCTAGACTAAAGCCCACAGCCCAGGGTCACTCACAAGAACAAAAAATATGCAGAACACATCCCCAGGGCATGAAAGTGGTACCTGGGTTGAGCACGGCTTGGGCAAGAAGGAGGCAAGAGGAGAGGTCAGAAGATATTGTCAGGATTTGGGGCCCAGCTAGATGGAGAGGGGTTTTGTAAAGTCGTGGGTGGCAGTAGAGCTGTAGGTATATGGGGGTCTGTGCCAGGGTACCCTGGGTTGAAGGTGCCCTCTGGTGGCACCGTGCTCCCGGGCACTCGCAGGGAGCGCAGGCACTGTGCAGCTCCCCAGAAAATCCAGCCCAGCTCTCTCCATAGAAATGCTGCTTCCAGGGATGCCAGCAGGACAGAAACATGCTCCCTCTCCAGTGGTGTGGGCTGGGGGACACACACCCTCGTTGACATCTTTGTTTCTCGGATTTACAGGACCTATTAAAGTGATCTGATAGCTTTCCATAAGGTATAACTTTCCTTAGTATAAAACTGCAGTAACCCAGATTAACTATATTGGTAATTTGTTCTGTCTTTATTTATTTCAGAGTGTGCTTGCAGCCCAGAAAGCCTTGTATCCTGGGCTGCATAAAAAGAATTTTGTCCAACAGGTTGAGGGAGGTGGTTCTGCTCTGCTCTGGTGAGGCCTCACCTGGAGTGCTGTGTCCAGCTCTGGGGTCCCCAGAAGAAAGATGTGGTCCTGTGTAGAGTGTAGTCCCGAGGAGGCCATGGAGAAGATCAGAGTGCTGGAGCACCTCTCTTATGAAGACAGAGTGTTGGGGTTATTCAGCCTGGAGAAGAGAAGTCTCCAGGGACCAGCCTTTTGATAGTTATAGGGGGCTTTACAAGAGAGATAAGGGCAGATTTTTTTTTAATCAGAGCCTATAATAACAGGAAACGGGACAAGACTATCAAATTGAGTATAGATTAAGACTCCTCATGAGGACATAACTTTTTTTTTTTCAGTGAGGGTGGTGAGACATTGTAACAGGCTGCTCAGAGAAGTTGTGGATGCCATATTTGTGAAAGTCCTCAGCTTGTATGGCACTTAGAGCAACCTGGTCAAGTGAAAATTCTTCCTCTTCATGCCAGGGGGTTGGACTAGATAATATTTTATAGGTCCCTTTCAGCCCAAATCATTCTATGTTTTTTCTTCTGTTGCTCTCTTCGAGGCCTGCAGAAGCCCAGGGCTGTCCCCAGTGCCTTTCCCTCTCCCACTGACTCCGGGTCAGAGATGTGTGGATGCTGTGTGATGGGCGGGCAGCATCCCTGCCCGGCACCCGACAGGCACATTCCTCTGCTCTTTCCTAGTGCTGCCGTGGCAGCAGGGCAGAGCAGTGTACTTCCACAGGGCAGGGCCCCGAGGCAGGGCATGGCTCCGGGCTGCCTGCAGGTCACCCTGCTGCGGGGACATGAGGCTGAGTGTCACAGCACAGCTCCTGCTCCCAGGATCCCGCTGCTTGCTCCTGTGTGAGCTGAGGAGCTCTTCTGCCCGGGCGCTGGCTTAGAGGGAGGATTGGGAAGGGCTGACTTCATCTGGAGGGACAGGTAGCAGCAAAGAAACAAGCTAAGAGAGGCAGAAAGCTCTGGAGATGCAATTGCAACATCCAGCTGCCTTTTGCTGGGAGCTCAGAGAGGTCAAATC